AACTTTAACCACAGAGTGAAAGTAATGTTAACTGGCAGAAAAACTAAGTCATTTTATAAGTAAAATACGGATAAACAAGATTTTTTTTTACAAAAAGTCCTTATAGATACTATCTTATGATCATAAACAAGCTTCTGTCCAAGTTATTAAAATATTTAAAACTTTAACCACAGAGTGAAAGTAATGTTAACTGGCAAAAAAACTAAGTCATTTTATAAGTAAAATACGGATAAACAAGATTTTTTTTACAAAAAGTCCTTATAGATACTATCTTATGATCATAAACAAGCTTCATGCATGTCAATTTTACATCTGTATGATTCTTATTCTCCGGGTGCGGGAATTTCTCGCTGCATTGAAGACCTGTTGGTGGCCTTCTGCTGTTGTCTGTTCTGTGGTCGGGTTGTTGTCTCTTTGACACATTCCCCATTTCCATTCTCAATTTTATTCTGTCCAAGTTTGGTAGAAATCCAGGTTGCAGGCTCGACAAAAATCAAATTTGAACAATTCTTAATATTACAAAAAGGAAAATCGGGATACCTGATGAGGATAGGCCTAGGTCTATACGAACATAGCCGAAACACCTTTTATATAACAAAGAACACAGACTCAGCTCTGTGATTCTTTTTTAAGAATACGCACACTATTCAAATTAGAAGCATGCCGTGTGAGTTTTTTTTTTTAAATGTTCACCAACAAATGCTGAAAACAGTATTCCATAACATAAAATTATCATCATACATTGAGTTATGAGAAAATGAATTTATCACAAAGGATTATAAAAAGATATACTGGAATAGTCCTGGACACGACTGATTTTAATATGTTTAAGTGATGGTCTGTGGTGTGTACATTACTGGAATGCTTCTCAGAATAAGGGACCAGCATATTACCAGTTGTAAGATCACAATGTACAATGATTTACATTTTCTACCGAAGATTGGCTGTCAAAAAGCTAACATTCCAATTTTCAATAACAGTTAACAGCAAATACATTCTCACAATAACAGATAACAAAAAAGATAATAGTCCTATAACAGCTAACAAGGAGTATGACAATAACAGCTAACAGCAAATTCAATTTCAGAATAACAGATAACAAAGAATTAAATTGCCCCATACCAGCATAACAGATAACCCCCCCCCCCCCCCCCCCCCTTATTGATGGTAGTGACATGGCTCATTTGAAACAGTTCATCGGTTCGACTGTTCAACGTAAATTTGACCAGAACGTAACTCATAAAAGTCTTCATTCACATGCAGAACAAATTGACAATGCATCTTATAATTATCTAAAGGAATTTAATAAGAATTAAGACGAAAACATTGTCTACAGAATATGAATTTCTATACAAAACAACGAGAAAGGTGATTCAGACATCGAGCTGAATTATGCAGAGGTATTTGCAAATCCTATTTATGGAAAATCTAGAAAAACTTTGTTGAGGGTGCATTCTATAAAACTGATTACATGACAAAACGCCAATCAAAGAACCTCCGAGAAGAGTACCATTGTTCGAGAGGCTAATTTTGGAAAATGGAAAATAGACTTTACAGAAGAAAAGTGTCATACCACGAATTGGTCCTCCTTTTTTGACGGAAAAATACTATGAATGAATATAACTCTTGAAAGAAGAAATACAATTTTGTCTTGGTACTTGTTCATTAGTGAAATCCATTGGATATGTTCAGGGGCGGATCCAGCCATTTATAAAAGGGGGTTCCTAACCCAGGATAAAGGGGGGGGGGGGGGGGTGTTTCCAACTATATGTCCCCATTCAAATGCATTGATCGTAAAAAAAAAGGGGGGTTCCAACCCCCGGAACCCCCCCCCCCCCCTTGATCCGCCACTCCACTGATGTTTCATAATTTGTTCTAATTGAATTATTTTTTTTTATTTTTTAAAGCAAAAACACGGGTTAGGTTAACAGCACTAGAACACTAGTTTTCAAACGTTTACAGTAGCTATCCCACCGCGCTGCCGCTATTTGTAGCGTGTCCATTTTTAGGGTCGACTGATAACTATGATATGATTCTTATTCCGAAGCGAATCTATGTAAGATCCATATTAAATATAAACAACTATTAACACAGTATTTAGTTTTTTGTCGAGCCTGCGACTTTTGTCGCAGAAAGCTCGACATAGGGATAGTGATCCGGCGGCGGCGGCGGCTTAACTTCTTAAAAGCTTTATATTTAAGAAGGTGGAAGACCTGGATGCTTCATTCTTTGTATATGGATGCCTCATGTTACGAAGTTTCCGTCAGTCGCATGTTCAATGTCCTTGACCTCATTTTCATGGTTCAGTGACTACTTGAAAAAAAGGTAAGATTTTTTGTAATGTTAAATTCTCTCTTATTATAAGTAATAGGATAACTATATTTGGTATGTGCGTACCTTGCAAGGTCCTTATGCCTGTCAGACAGTTTTCACTTGACCTCGACCTCATTTCATGGATCAGTGAACAAGGTTAAGTTTTGGTGGTCAAGTCCATATCTCAGATACTATAAGCAATAGGTCTAGTATATTCGGTGTATGGAAGGACTGTAAGGTGTACATGTCCAACTGGCAGGTGTCATCTGACCTTGACCTCATTTTCATGGTTCAGTGGTTATAGTTAAGTTTTTGTGTTTTGGTCTATTTTTCTTATACTGTATGCAATAGGTCTACTATATTTGGTGTATGGAATGATTGTAAGGTGTACATGTCCAACTGGCAGGTGTCATCTGACTTTGACCTTATTTTCATGGTTCAGTGGTCAAAGTTAAGTTTTTGAGTTTTTGTCTTTTTTCTTATACTATATGCAATAAGTCAACTATATTTGGTGTATGGAAATATTCTATGATGTACATGTCAGTCTCGCATGTTTTATTTGACCTTGACATCATTTTCACGGTTCATTGCTCAGTGTTAAGTTTATGTGTTTCAGTCTGTTTTTATTCTTAAACTATAAGCAATAGGTCAGCTATATTTGTTGTATGGAAGGATTGTAAGCTGTTCATGTCTGTCTGGCATGGTACATCTGACCTTGACCTCATTTTCACGATTCATTGGTCAATGTTTAGTTTTCTTGGTTTAGTCTGTTTCTTGAGAAACTATAAGCAATAGGTCAACTATATTTAGTGTATTGAATGATTGTAAGGTGTACATGTATTTCTCGTTTGGTTTATATGACCTTGACTTCATTTTCTTTGATCATGTTAAGTTTTTGTAATAGTTGTAGTAAAGGTTTCATTTAGGACTATCAACATAATATCAATGGTTAGTAAAGAAGGCGAGACATTTCAGCGTGTGCACTCTTGTATGACTATATAATTATTCTATAACTTCCAACTAGTGTAAAAATATGTAAATATTTTCATATACTTTCATTCCCATTTGTAAATACAAGAAAGATATAGTTCTTTTTACTTCTAGTTTTAACATCATTATCTAATCTATCAACTGACGACAGAAAACTATGTATTCTCTCACACTCTCACACGTTCTTTGTACTCTCCTCTTGGCAGTGCCTCGGCGGTACCTGATAGTATCGTTCTCTCAGTTGACACTGGTCGGTATCTATATACCATACATGCACACGATATCTTTAACAAACACTTAATGCGACTATTTTTTAACCGAACCCCTTATAAAATTACTAGACTCAGTTTGAATTATTTCTAGGACTGTATATTGCCCTAGCCAGGGAAAAATACCGTCGCAGTATTGTGTACAATACATTACATGTATTGTAATCATTTAATTGTTTTTACAATACTGGGACAAAATTTTATTCCAGTAATATGATACAGGAGATCCACAATAACAAACAATACTGTATAAAACTGTATGCTATATAACCTTTTCTGGAAAAAAAAAAGAAATCATGCATTCTTGTTTGTTCTCATAGTGAAATCTAAAATGACATTGCTGAATTTATAACAGAAATTATGTTTTGAATATCATGAGCTTACAATAGCTCTTCCCATAAATACCCCTTTTAATATTTTTTCCAAAATAGAAAAAAATAGACTGCGTTTATATTGTAACGTGACCGAGGGTAGGAACGTGATATAATCCCCTAAAAAAATCATCAAAATAAAACAAACAAACAAAAATACACTTTTATTTTTTTTTATTTTGAGGATACTCGTGTGTATGTTTGTCTAGACGTCATCGAATTATCCATGAAGATGACCTCTGCAGACTGCCAACGGTCACATAACTGGATATAAACATAAATATAGATATAAATAGATAGCGAACACGTGCAATTAGATGATTTTTCTAGGTCTGCTTGATTTCATATTGTAGGTTAAAATGTATGTTTATCATAATTTTTACTTGTATAAGAATGATTATTTGTGACCGGGTTAAATCAGTCAACCAAATGGTTAATCCTTGTTTCGCTTTCAATGTTTAGATTCTCAGTTTCCCTTTTTAATAGCTGATACATGCGTAATCCATCTCCAGCTAAGGGTTAAATTGAAGGTCACATGAATACGGTTTCAGTGAATAATTCATCAGCTATGTTTCTTATCTTATTTTGTAAAAATTGAACAAAATTGGCTGCTAAAAGCGAATTATTATTTCACCATTTCACTTTCATTAATGATTGAACAAAACCAAAAAAAATCATATTTTATTTTTCGTACCTTTTAAATTTAAGAAATAGAAGGGAAAAAATATAGCAGAAAAAAAATAACATGTATGTTTGGAAAAAAACTTATATATTAGAACCGCACTTTTCCCTTGTCAAGTTATACACCCGCCCCCTCCCTTAAAAAAAATAATAATAAAAAAAAATTGGTAAGTCTTAGACTTTGAATTTGTTATTCACTACAATTTATGTACAAAATTCTTCTAAATACATTAAACTACAATGCGAAAATAGTTTTCAAATTATCATCTAAGAGTAAGAGACCGACAGACGGCCAGCTTTTTGAAAAGCTAACTTGTAAAACTGATCTTCAGAATTATCTCCCATATACATTGAAGATTCACTTCCGGAACAGAAACGAAAGTAGAAACTCAAAGGAATCCAAGATTATCGAGAAACAGAAAGGGATGTAAAAGTCAGTTAATAGTAAATGCGTAATTTTATTTAGTTTTAAAGAAAGTATACTAGACATAATTTGTGTTTTCCTATGACAAATAGTCGAATAAAGTGTTGAGATGCACAGAGTGTATATAAACAGCTAACAGGCATGCAGGTAAATCATACTAAATGTCAAACTTGATACGAAAAATAAGAATATAGTTCTATGTAATAAGAATAACTTATTGAATATAGGGGGTTTTGAAGTTCTGAATTGGGTAATATTGGTTTGCTCTATGAACATCATGTACCATGTAGCTATGACTGTCAGGGTGTGGGCTGTGGCTGGATACCACAACACGTTAAGGGTATGGAAATTTACAAATGTTCACGTTGATGAATTTTCCCCAAAATATCCTCAAACAAAAAAAGTGTACTTGTTTTAACATGAAATACTAGGGTGAACTACATGTACTTCTAAAAAGAATAATGTCAAAAATGTAACTGTCATAACACTAGCTGAGTTCTTGTATACTTTTTTTCCCAAGGTGGTCCTTCCAAACAACCTGCTGGTCCTCACTATTTTTCTATTGCAAATTACCAAAATTGTGTCAGTACTTTGAAATATTAGGTTGTCAAAACCTTTAGACTAACAGTTTTTGAGAACTCTGCTATAGAACTTTTACTGTAAACCAATATTTAGGCTATATAGGAATCTATTTTTATATCATATATTTACAATACTTTAGTTTCAAGATAGTCTGTTTTCCCATGTCCAATTTTATTTTACACAGACAAGTCACATGATGACGTTAGAAATCTATGCAGTGGTTGGAATCAGAACAACATGAGGGTAGTTAGGAATGCCATTTACCCTCAGGCATCTAAGGTCATTTTCGACTACCGTTAGCATCAAATTGGTTAAAATTTTCTACTGATTCGTCAAAATATCCTTATCCTGATTCGTCAGTGGTCTCAAAAAATAATTATTACTGTTATTTTTGGAAAGAATTTAACTTGATTTGTCAAAATCAGTTAAATTTTTAATCGTCAGAAAGAAATTGTACATTTATAGTCATGCACCAAAAATGACCTTTAAATGTCATTTAGCGTTATTCGTTATGAAGATACCCCCATTACAACCCTCCAACACTATCTGCATTAAAACATTAACATATATGGGCAATGTCACGTAACGGTAGGTTTTCATTAGGGTAAGGAGTTCAAACTAGAACACTGGTTTACTTTTTGAGGTGGAAAAAACTAAGTATGTGCATAGAAAAATGTCATGTGATATTTTCTTGATCCCTACATTGAAACAACAACTATCCTGGAAATCTATTATAAATAAATATTGATTGAAATGTTATCAAATTATTAACAAATTAATAATTTGTTTTCCTTTTTACTTAGCATATTTTCATGTATACATCAGGGCTTCCAAAATTTTTTTGAGCCAGCTGGACATTTCGTATCTTATCCCGATTTTAAATACCTTTAGACTTAGTAAATTAGGCAATTATGATAATCAGTTGGTCATCATATAACCAATGATTGACATTAAAACGATATTAAACTTTACTTTGATATAAATTCGATGTTCTGGCGTAAAGTGTTAAATTGAAAGGGCAGTATTCGAAGTGTGCAACATCAGCATACTAATTCTGCCTAATTCCGCTTTAGACTCTTTATTTGTGCAAAATAACGTTGTCAAAAACTTTACTTTCGTTTTTAAAATCACATTTTCCTAATGCCGGATGTTGACTTGACAATGGTAAATCACGGATCAGAGACGGATACCTAATATCCGTGTACGTTTATGATCGAGTTAAGTAGCCTTTTCAAGTTATTTCTTCAAGAAAATACTCAAAATGAACATTAGATAAAGGTATCAATGATAATTTTAGCATTATTGAAGAATTAGGATGCATAATTAAAATTCCCACCAGCGCACAATAGACAATAGACACATGCGCACACATGTACTTGTTCAAACAACGTGGTTCTGACGATTATTCGTTTAAAACCTTTTCAAATTTTTCATCAAATCATATTTATTAACGTATTTCTTATAATTTCAATCTTTTAGACTAAATTAATTAGATGCAACCCGCTGAAATGTAAGAAAATAACTTTGAATACCCTTTAACGTACCCCAGTATTTAACATGATGTATAGTGTTTTTAAATATAATAATGAGGGCCCCTCAATAATGAATATCATACAAATTCGAATTCATTTATAAATACTCTTATTTCAAGAATTATTTTAAAATCTAAGGATACTTTTTTAAAACTGAATGCTCATTTACAATAATATCTACAAAGCGTAATTAGATAGGGTGTTGTTCCATACACGCTTACATGTTTGACCTCGTTTACCTGATCACCTATATGTCCATTGTTATGCATCATCAATTCTATTGATTAAGACAAGCTAAGGTCTCACATCAAAGGTAATGACCTGTAATCAGTGAATGATTTATGGCTTCAATATTACTTATTGAAGTGATAATTGTTTGACAGCTTGTTGTTTTTTAAATAAAAGAACAAATTTTTTTTTCTACTTTTTATTGATGTACCAAGCCGTGCATTTATGTACCCAGAGGATTAGACTAACTGAGACACTTCAAAGTATGCTGCATCTGTTTAATTAAACCCAAATATGACCGAAATATCTTTGTGAAATAGATTGCCACAATTATAAACTATAATGCGCAAACGGACATTTTTACCGAACGATAGTTGGTTAAAAAAGTGAAATGACCGTTTTATGAAAATGCCTTGCATAACAAAAAGTGGCAAACCTATGATATTTGACCGTCTGAGGCTGAGAGCAGCCGGACTTTTTATATAAATTTCGGTCAAGTCCGGAATATATGACCGTTTTGGAAGCCATGGTATACATCCAAAATTTATTAATTACCTTAGTATCATACATGCTTTTAACTGATGGCTGAATAAAAATAGTGAAATACATTTTGTCATATTTAGCACATATTAGATCTGTCCGGGGCATAACTTGAACAAGTAACTTTCAAAATTATCTATACATTAAATGAAAATGACCCAAGGGTTTCAATCCTCTGCTGAATCAAACTAAAAACTTGAAAAAGGTATCTGCTGCTTGTATGAGTAAGAGTAAAGATGGGTAACCTCTGAGTCAGAATAATGTGTCCAGGTAGAGTGACTTGTTGTCCTGCTGAGGCAAAAAAAAAATATATGTCTGTTTACGGTTAGCCGACCTAACCTGCTTTTGGGTGCTGACCCTAAGTTATTTTATTTCTGTCTTTACCTAAAGTGAAAAATTAATTGAACTTCAAGAGCGAAAGTTAGAGTTGCAAATTAAAGAAATCAATTGCCTGATACATCCTATCATATATATATAAATGTTCGCAAACGTGAATATGACAGCTGTTTTAAGGATATTCACGACTCATTAAACACTTTGCCATCATTTTTTCCAATCAATATTAAAGGGAAATAACCCAATCATTAAAAATATGAATAAACTACCACCATGGACAACTCTGACCACGGCAAGACGGACCGCACAATTCATAATCATGTCGCAAAAAATTAAATAGAAAATGAAATAAAATGGAAATAACGACCTACCTTTCCTATTTTTTATAATGATGGATCCTTAGACAGACGTAATTTTTTTTGGCCTTACTCTGTTAAAATTCAGCTCATCATTTCAGACTATAACAAAGCAGGAATACTCTAGATCTTCATATTATATTATCATTTTCTTCCTGATATACATTAATATGTGTCACTGGATGTACCATCAATATAATCGTTAAAATCATCCTCATCATCATCAAATGCTAGCAGTAAATTGAAAAATAAAATATTCAGAGAGATGTGTATTCAAACTACCATAAACACTTCTGGTGGGAAACATATTTAAACCCGCTGCATTTGTTTGCACCTGTCCTAAGTCAGGAACCTGATGTTCAGTGGTTGTCATTTGTTTATGTGGTTCATAAGTGTTTCTAGTTTCTCGTTTTTTATATAGATTAGACCGTTGGTTTTCCCATTTGAATGGATTTACACTAGGCATTTTTGGGGCCCTTTATAGCTTGCTGTTCGGTGTGAGCCAAGGCTCCGTGTTGAAGACCGTACTTTGATTATTGTGACTTTCCTTTTGAATTCATATTGTGTCCACAGCTTTTATGAAGATTTCCAATTTGCTATCAAAATTATTTCTTAATCCTTTACACCCTTCACGGTTACTTCATGTACTTATAAAAATCAGTGCAGAAGAAATGAAATTTTACACAAAACAGAAGTTTATTAACAACCAGAGCTCAAAAACAATTTTACAAGACTTAGTATAGATAGAATAATGTTCGCAAAGACCTTATACATATATGTTATATTATTTATCCAAATTGAAATATCAACCAAAAACAGTCAAACTGTAAAAAAACAGTGGAATCGTTTCAAGATGTACAAAAATAATATCCATTTTTCCTGCAAATAGACTTATTATAAAAAATTGTTTCATTCTTATCATGCTTTTTATTCCCCTACCAACGAAGTCGAAGGGGACTTTAGGTTTGCACTCCGTCCTTCTGTCCGTCTGTCCATCCGTCAGTCCGGCAAATCAGCTTTCTACACTTTTTATATGCCCGTTTACGGGACATATTATGGTATACCGTTGACCTTCTGTCCATCGTCTGTCCGTCCGTCTGTCCAACCGTCCGTCATCAACATGTCGGACATTAATTCAAAAACGCTTTAACCAGTATGCATGAAACTTTGGTGAACTGTTTATATCTATTGACGTGACCTCCTTTTCGTTTTTTTTATAAATTTCAGATTTACCATTTCCGAGTTTTGGGGTTTTATTCATTAAAAAAAGGGGGGATTTTCCAGTTTTCAGACAATAACTCAAAAATAATTTCACCAATTTGCATGAAACTTTTGTGAATTGTTCATATCTATTGACGTGAGATCCCTTTCGTTTTTTATAAATTTCAGATTTAACGTTTCCGAGTTTTGGGGTTTTATTCATTAATAAAAGGGGGATTTTCCAGTTTTCAGACAATAACTCAAAAACAATTTCACCAATTTGCAAGAAACTTAGGTGAATTGTTTATTTCTATCGACATGAGCTCCCTTTTGATTTTTATAAATTTCAGACTAACGTTTCCGATTTATGGGG